ACGCGGCGCTTATGCACGTCCTCCACTCCGGAAACGTCCACTCGTCTCGCACTCTAGAAAATTTGAATTCTTCGCTCAATTTCATCGACCGGTATTAATCCGTGTATATGGAGGTCCTCCGGGAAGCGGGAGATGCGACTGCGAGGGGATTCCGGACGCCGACCACGAACACCGGTGCGGATAGGTAAGCGTAAGGAGGGTAGTGAAAACCGAGTGGAAGAACGCTATAACGTCCACTTTGCTCCCAGATCGAGGAGCCAACGTATGTCTGCCATTTCAAGATTTTGGGGATCCGTGCACATACCATCGTCGACTGAAGTTCGAGTTCTTCGTTTTGCTTCTCGGCCGGGTGATGGTCGGAACTCTCTTCACGTACAGGTTTCGTCGTGCTTGCCATGAACTCATCCGGCACGGTTTTTTTCTCTCGAAAGTCGTGTATCTGTTACCATGGAACCACTCGTGAACGATCGTCAGCACGCGACCGAATTTCGAAGGAAACGATCGTATGGAACCAGAGACCAGAACTCGGTGTTCGTTCGGCAGCTCCTTTCTCGAGCCGAGACTTCTCCCCGTCCCCACGCCGTCTCCGCTCCCGAAGCAATTCTCGTTCTCCTGCGGATCCTCTCCGAGTTCCCTGCTGGGCGCCTCTTGCGTCGTGGCTTTCTCCGAGGCGTGCGACAGAGATGGCTCCTGCACCTGTTCCTGTTCGTTTTTCGTCTGCTGCGTGAATATCAAACGATATTATCATCTGTGGAAATTCCAAAGAAAAAAAATTGCTCGCAGAGACTGGTTAGAAAATCGGCTCGATTCTGAGGGCATTTTCCTACACGAGGTATTAATTGCTCTTGCGCTTTATGCGACTGTAACCACGTACTTTCGGACTCGTGGCAGACGACTCGATTTAATCCCTCGGCTGGAAAGCTCAAAGATCTTAGATTTCTTAGACGCGTCACGGGGACGATCCGATAAATACGGGCACCCTGGTTAATGACTCGATGAATCCACGTTTTCTACAAGAAATAAAAAGTCTAAGAAAGAGTGATATTACAGAAGCGGAAAGCCAATGCTAGATCTGCATCTTCCTCGACTTTTCGAAACGGTACCGAAAGCAGCAATAGATACTTTTACGCGGAAGCTATGATTATACCGATAAGAGTATGCCAAGTGGGTGACAGAAATGTAGAAAACACAAAAAGAAAGTCAGGAGGGATTCATGACCTGTCCAGAAAAAAAAAAACAAAAAAAAAACAGAATGCCTCATTCTGGCCCCAGTCTGGGGATGACCACACCAAATTTGAACCATAAAATAAGATATGATAGGAATAGGATGATTAATTTAAAAAAAATGGTATTGGGTAATTTCAAAATGTTAATTAAATGCTATGAGGTATAACATTTATTTTGCATGAATCTCTCGTTGAATCTTTGTTGTCTAGCTCACCAGAATGACGATTTGAAAGCAAAAATGCACCAGTTCAGGAACGAGCAGAATATGATACCATAGCAGCAGCAACCGGAATCGCAATATTCGATAGGACCGCGTCTAAAGATACCGTTTTCGAGTTTTGCTTTTGGATTTGGATTTAAGCGCACAGACCTCAGTCGTGGGCGGTTTCAGTTCTTCGTTTGGCTCCTCGTCCTGAAGATGGCCAGCGTCCTCTTCATTTGAGGGTACCACCTCGTGTCCCGTGGCCTCTTCCTGCACGGCATTTTGCTCGTGGACCTCGAGCGACTGTAATCATGAAATTGCCTCTCGTTGATCGTCAGTAGATGACAGAATTGATTATAAAACAATGGAATGCAAGCAGAGACCGGAACCGAGCGTTCGTCCTGTCGCTCCTGGCTGGAATCGGACTCGCTCTCCGTTTCCACGTTCTCCCAGCGCTCGAGGCGTTTTCCCTCCTCGTCCTTTTCCCGGGGAGAAGGGAATTCTGGGAGTCCCCTGCTGGGGGCCTCTTGCGTCGCTTTCTCCTTCTCTGAGGCGGGCCTTTCGGATGGTCCCGGCACCCGCTCCTCTTCATCCTTCTGTGGCTGCGTGAACAGGAAATGATATTACCTTCAGTGAGCCTTCCCAGAGAAAACATGCCCTTCAGGATCCGACCAGTTTTCTTTCGAACCGAGTCATGTAAATTTTTAATGATATTTCACAGTGATGTGCAAGCCTCCACAAGCATGCAGTTCTTCAAACTTATACGCTCCCCTCCTCAACATAGAAGCAACAGTACCCATTCTTTCAAGAAAATGCTTCCAATGATGTATTTGAACTTCATGATTGTGTTAAACAGTGTACATTCGTGCATGACGTATCTTTCTCAATTTTGAATGAGTTGCGCTTATAAATGAGCCATCAAATTTGCCAACCACCGAACAAGTACTGCTAGCCAATATACAGCCGAATCTTCGGGGAGTATTTGCAAGAATGAGGAACTGGTTGACTTCATTCGAGTTGAAATAGTGCGTCTATGGGATCGAAGCCAAAAATTTAATAGGAATCGCAGGTATCCAAACGGCTGAGGATATGCTGCTGATGCTTGCACGCTAATGGTAATGGGTAATGGTTACGCCAAAAAATGCCGAATCCAGGTGCGGTTTCTTTCGTACGAGGCACATCGACCCTGACATCAGTATGTATCGTTGGCCCCGTACCTTTGTCAGACTGGGATTACCACATTAGGGTAAAACGGTACAGGAAGGGTATGCATGCAGGATGAATGGAACCCATAGTGCGATGACCTCGGCTTAGAAGAAATGGACCAAAGAATCATCTCATCGGCAATTCGAACCCGCAAAGCGAAGGCAGATTGAAACTGCCTCTTCACAAAGCTATCTGAATAGAAAGGGACTGGCTGTAGTGACACGGGAAAGACTCACGGCGAGCGCAATGGCCATCCTGAGTCTCCCTCCGCCGGAATCTAGTTACTGTATTTATACTCTTTTTTTTTCGCAAAAAAGGGAATGTGGATTGACGTTGAGTCTGAAATGGCTGGCCTTCCTCGTGTTGGGTGCAAGGCTATCCAATCAGGGTAATGCAAAGCTTCCCAGAGTTGCCTCCGAGCACTCGTTAATGCTATGTACGATTGGGTGAAACCCTTTTAAATATACGTAATCTGCCTTATTGTGAGCTTTTGGAAGTAGCTCACAGCTTCGCAGAACTTTTTTTTTGGGTTTTGGAGATGCGCACAGACAGACCTCAACAAGCTTTGGTTCTAGTTCTTGGTTTTGCTTCTGCAACTGAGAACGGGCGATGTCGTCTTCGTTTGTCATCTTCGTTTCTGACGGATCCTCTTCATGGTTGTCGTGTTGCTGTTGCATCTCTGTAAGCTGCAATCATGAATCAACACGCTAAGAATTAGTTATACCGTAAAAAAAAAATAAGTGATTGAGAACGGGATAATAACCCAGACCTGGCCGCTGTCTTCCTCGAGCTGGCCTCCGAGGTTGCCAGGCATTCCTTCATTCTCGCACTTCACAGATTCCATTTTCTCACCCTTCTGCTCCTCCTCCTGTTGCTGCCCCACGAAATTCCTTATAGGGTCTTCATGGCTGATTCCTTTCATTAGCGTCCACTGTTTTGTCTTTTTCGTCTCGACTTCGGTCTGGGACGGTTCTTGGTTTTCCCCCTCTCCAAGCCTACTCTTGTTCACCACCTTAATTAAGAAAAGTAGACATTTTCGCGGACGAACGACTCCATATCAGCAAAAAGTTGGAAAATAATTTATTTTCTTTCAAATGTTCTTCTATAACTAAGTTTTCTATTTGAATGACATAATTGTATGAAAAAACGAGAGTAACCATCCCATTTTAGAAGACAACGGAGCACTTAAATATCCTCATTCGTCGCACACTGAAAACACATGACACCGAGAAGGGAGAGAAATGGAGTTTTACTGTCATCTCGACCAGTTTCATTTTTAGTATTGTCAGCGAATCGTTTCCTCATGAAAGGGTTCTGGAGCATTAAAATAAAATTGGAGAAAATCATCTGGCTATCCCTCATGCATATGCTTCGCCTAGGCATAATCAGTGCTTACGCGCAGAGTGGAATCTTTTGAATGCGCTCTGCCAAGATTTAGATCATTTTTACTTTACATCTGAGAACACGAACCTCAGCCAGTTCCGAGTTGCTGCCGTTGCCTTGAGGTATTCTCAAGTAAGACAGTATGTTGATGAAACATTCTGAAATGTTGCCTATGCTGCTCTATGTTGCAAGATGATGACCACATAGATGCAACATCGTTCATCAACATTTCATAAACGTTGCTGGAATATCTTGCGTTACTTGAGTTGGAGAGCTATCTTAGTTCGAGCGATTAATCCGGTTCCTCTTCCCAATTGTCATATTGCAGCTGCATTTCATTTATATTATTTCTCTAACCAACTTGCGATCGACCATCGAAGATGCACTGATTTCTGAAGGCAAAGTATGACATACGTGAAGCGTGCCAGACGAAGTCTTCCGTCTCCTATCCTCCCGGAGCTGCTCTTCCAGCTTCCTCAGCGTCTTCTCTTGCAATTCCCTCAGTCTAATCCTGCGCTGCACCATTTCGTTCGCTCTTGGAGGCTCTTGAGTTTGCTGAAGCTCCGCCGGTGGTTTCTTCTTCTCGGGCTGAATGGATACGAATGGACTTTTCCGTGAAGGAATACGACAATTTAAAAAAAGTACATATTTTTGGCACTTTTGTATTTCGTTTATGCTATTACTTCGGCAATCGACTTTAATCGAGATGGGGATGGGTCAGCCTCTTAGCTTTGTTTACTGGAATATGAAATTTCATATTCAAATGGTGTTCGATGAGCATCTTTTCTTTAATATTTCGCATGTAACGAACAGAAAAGGAATATAAAAGTGAAATTGAATGCCAATTCTTTTGATTTTTTTTTTAACCAGAGATTGGACAGACAGCGTAAAGCCTTGCAAAAGTTTCACTCCAGAACCGTTATTTTTTTACAGTGTACCAACTATCTTAGAACCACCTTGCTTCTTTTTTTTTTCCTTCTGGCGGTCACGTTTCTGTGATCGTTGTTTCACCTCTTGTACGATAGCGGGAGTAGAATTGGGCACATTTTATAACGACATTCTACCAAACTTCCTTATTAGAAGCAAAATTATACCTGCGTCCAGATTTCCACATTATTGGACGTACTGGTACGCAGTACTCAATGACGTGATCGACGATGGTAGACCGGAAATGGTCATCTGGGAACTAACTTAAACCGAGCTCAAAGTTTCATACCCTTTCGCGAAAAACAATTGTCCCATAGCGCAAGGGATTAAAACACAAAAGAGGACGGTGCACTCTCTACGTATGAATTCCTCCAACTGGTCTTTGAGATTTCTGGCATAGACCTACGCTTCTATAAGGAGTCCCAAAGGAACTAATCGCAAGGCATACGATTAGAACTACGAGCTGTCCGTTCAATAGATCATTAAGTTCCACAAATATGGATTTACACAAGTGTGAGACGTTCTTTCCTTCCAGTTTTCTGTAACACCATGTAAGTAATTGCGCTGCCTTCTTGATCTAAAAAATAACCCAAAGAATTGAACTTGCATTTCGCACTAAAGATGAGTCTTTTCTGTCTGTCACTTCTAAGTAGTTAAAAAAGATGTTGATTTACTTATGAGATGCCCTGTAGTTTC